TCAAACTGAATTTTCACATTAAAGATATTTAAACACTTATGAGTTGTTTGACTCTAATCAGAGCGCTGTGAAAATACTTCTGTTTTTAAAGATAACACAACACTCTGCGCTGGAGATTGTTTCAAGGATTCAGGTTTCTTTATTTGTCATTGTGTACACAGGGTCCCAGTTAACATCCAACAAAAGTATTAAAATGTAAAAGAAAATCAGTAATAAGATCTGAGATATGAACTAAGGAAAATGTAAAACATACACTAAGCAGTAGTAGCATAAAATGGCATAAAAGCAATACGTCGAACAGCAGCATGAACATGAGTCTGTGTGAGCAGAAGAGCACGCATGAACACAGCAACATGGAATAGATCAGCAGCAACAGGAAATAGATCAGCAGCAAGATATGAGTTTTCACAGTGATTATCCTGGTTAGAGATTCATGAGTCTAACAGCCTCAGGGTAGAAGCTGTTCCTCAGTCTAGTGGTTCTACACTTAATGCTCCTCATCGTTGCCAGAGGATTTACAAACAGGCTGCAAACTGTCGGTGTTTGTGAATCCCCTTTGCAGTGTTAACACAACTTCCAGGCAGTTTTTTTTTTAAATTGTCAACTTCAACCACAGTTGCAGATGGCAATTGTTATTGTTTATTCAACACATATAATAGGCGCCATAAAGACCATCTGGTGTTAATAAAATCCCCATAATGTTTGTACATTAAACCGTAAACTTAATGTTTATCTTTTAAGTTGTCACTAGTGATTTTTGAATGCGGCTCTGTGTAACACATGGGCCAGAATTCACAAACACAGCTGGAGATATTTGAATTTTAAACAGCAGAGCTCGTCTTCTGTCGCTGCTTTGATTTCACATCAAGCTCTTAATGGTTCTCTCTTGAATTAAGCAGCGTAGGCACTACACTGGTTCTGGGTTATTAAACATGTTGGTCACAGCATTGGTTGGACTTAAAACCTTAGTCTTCGGCCCCTCCCAGAAACTGTTCTTTTTTTTGTGGACCGGCAAATGGAGGATTTATTGGAGCTCCAAGTTTACAAGATCAGACCAAGAAAGTTGGGGGCTAATTTAATTAAAGGTTACGTTGGAGCTCAGTTTCTAAATAATTGTCCGTTGGATTAGACACAGGCTGACTTTTTGTAACAATTTCTGAAAAAGCTAAATGACCAAAGTGGGATTAAATCAGGCATCAGAACGGTGAAGCAAGGGGATTTAGTTTTTTTTTGTTTTATTAACATATTCATTCATTCATTCAACCTTTATTTAGACAGGTAAACGTGACGTGATATGGGCTGTCTCTTTCCTTTTTTTTGGTTCTCAAAATGACAGACGCTCTGTGTGGTTTGAGCTCTTTAGCGTAGCATTTTTCACACAAAGCTTTAAAAAAAAAATCAGTAAACAAGTTCTCAGCTTCTTTTTGCAGAGAAAAACAACTTTTTAGATGGAGGCACGGGTTTCAACCGTGAATTTTGGAGCTTCGACAAGATGGCTTTTTTCCCTGAGGTCGGCCTGTTCGCTTGACTCGTAGCTTAGCTTCTCAGCTTAGCTGCTTTTAACGATCCAAAAATGTGATTTTGGACGGTTAAAATGGGTTTAAAGAGAAAGGGAGAGGGTCATTGAAGAGCACCGGAGTTGAGCCTTTTGTCATCCAGAGTCTTCAGTAGAAAGAGACACGAAGAAACGATGAAGCCGGTGAATGAAAAATGTGGGCGATAATTTTCATTTATCATGCGATTAATTGATTTATTGTTTATCACAACAGGCCTACTGCAGGAATGTTTATTGTTCTATGCAAGTATTTTGTCATTTAAAATGATTGAAAGGTTTATGAAATTGTTTATTTATTTATTGTTGCAAAGTTCATTGTCTTGCCTGTGTGTTTGGTAGAAAATTTTCTGAATGCTGGTTTTGTCCACTGGCGTCATTTAAGTTTCACCATTAGCTGGATGTAGAGCTTATTGAATCCAAAGCTTCCGATGTCACCGTCTCATTTTGGATCTCTGAGGACACTACATGTCCCTAATTTAGCTGTTTGTGATGAAAGTTCACATCAGCAGCTGCGTGTGTGTGTGTGTGTGTGTGTGTGTGTTTGTGTGTGTGACTAAGACAAGGTGTGTTTGATGCAACGTTAAGCGAAGGAAAAAAGCTTCGATATCTCATTGACTCATTTTCTCATTTTCCTCCCTTCATCCATCGTTCTTATTCTTTTACCGCATTCCTCCCCCCATCTCTCACTCAGTCTGTCTCTCCCCTCCCCTCTTTTTCTTGAGTATTCTCTCCATCCACTCTCACCTCTCGGCTCTCGGTCTCCGTCTCTCTTCCATTTGCTCTTCTCCTTGTCAGTCACCTTCCATCTCTTCCCCTCTCTCTCCTCTTCCTCTAACCCAGCCTCACACGTGGATTTGAGTGTGTGCTCGAAACGGTCATGCAGCACTTCTTTATTCTTATAGACCTCACTTGATAAAGACGAGGAGAGATGATGCAAAAAAGAGATGAAATTATAAAAGAAATGACAGGAAGACCGAAATGGGGAAAGGCAGAGACAAAGAATGGCAGAATGTGAGTGAGGCAAACGGGTGGATCTATAATTTCTGACTGTGTTGATTTTGTCATTTTTGTTGTTTGTGACTTTAATGACGAAAGCGTCTGCATCAGTCATGTGTGAGCTGATTGTTTTCAAACCTGCTGGCCACATGCTCATGTGGCGTGTTTGTGCTGGTATGACCAGAGTCTACTAAAACTGATCAGAGGAAGGAGGAAGGCAGCGTTAATCCCGCCTCCCCTTCATCCCTCACATATAAATCGGCAGCGAGCGAAGCCCATTCCCACTCAACACTCGTGCTGAAGGATGAGGTCCTTAAAGCACCTGAAGCCTCACAGCAAGAGGAGTGTGGTGAGTTCACAGCTTGTTTCGTGTTACTTCACTGAGGTGGTGGTCAGGGACATGAATCCTGTGATGCTTTGTTTTTTTAATGCAGATTTTAGGTTTGCAAAGTTGCTATTAGTGGATTTCTTGTTTGTCCCAAATCAGGATTAATCTCTGGCACTCACTCATCATTTAAACAGTTTTTATTGCTCTATTTATTTCCTGTTTGCTTCACCTCGTTTTTCATTTGGTCTGCCCTTCGTTGTGATAATTCTTTATGTTCTATCTTCCAGGTTGCCCACTGCCTCTCCCTTTTCTCTTCCTTTCAGTCTCTACATTTCTTTCTTCCTCTCTTTTGACTGCTGCCTCACTCAGCCGCTCTCCTTCCTTCCTTTTTTTAACATCTTTCTGTCTCTCAGATGGCCTCCCTCCTTGCCATCCCCCCATTCGTCTTATCGTTCTTTCACTCCCTCTCTACCTTTTAGTTTTTTCCAGCCCTTTTCTCCACTAGTTTCTTTCTTGCTGAGCTTTTCCTACATCTTTGATTTTTTTTCCTCCCTTTCTTCCATTTTCTTTGCTCTCTTCTGTTTTTGTCTCCCCCTGCTTTTCCATTCTTTCTTTCTTTATTTATTTATTTTTGCTGTTTCTTAATCTTGTTTTGCACGTCAGTGTGAGATCAGTAGGCCATCTAATCCTCCTCACCACTCAGTCACACAAGCCATACATGGTTAGCACGCTGGACTAGGATGCTTTACTTTATAGTTTCTGCATCTGTCATCAGATCTCCAGGTCTGCGTTAGGACAGCTTTCATTCTGTCCTCATTCTTGTATTAGAAAAATAGATTTGTGTGCTGGGTTGTCTCTGAGCAAACTGTTTACTTCATCACTGTAAAAGATGTAGAAAAGACGCGTCTACTTTTTTTCTCTTTACAGCAGGACAAAAAAAAACACTGATTAGATGCAGCTCAAAAGGCTTTTCTCCCTGATCAAAAGCTTGTACAATGTGGTTTGCCAAAAATAAAACAGCATTTCTACTTTAATAGTTGTTAAATGTGCATATTTATATGCTCAATTTAATAAAACGTTCTCAACTATAGGTTTAAGTATGATTTTTCTAATGTTAGGAAATGGATAAAATGGGAAAGACATTCAGAATTTATTTGAGTAATATTTGTGCTGTAAAATACATGGAAATTTTATCATCATGGCAGTATCAATGTGTGCAATATCAGTATCACAACTATTGACAATTATAGACCATTATATTCAAAGTATTTTTCTGTCAATAATTTATTCAGCCAATCAAATAGACCCTAATATACCACAACTGTTTCAGATTATATAGTGGCCGAGATACTAAAACCACTTTGCCATTTATAAGTGCGTCTCCACTCGTTTCTCATCTTATCGTTTCTGCTCAGCTGTTGGTGATTTGCCACTGTGACTTGTTTCCCTGCGCTGTGGATCATCAATGCAAAGTGGGCGGTATCATAACAGGTCATTGTGTTGGAGCCACTCCGCCCATTGTGGTCCTTAATCGCCCTATAATCAGACTTCAATTTCTTTAGCTTATCCTGGCTTATAAGTCCAGGTGTAGCCATGCTACGCCATCATCTCAGATACCTCTCTGTAAATGTGCTAATTTATTGTGGCGCCTTCCAGTTCGTGCAGAATCCTAACAGCAGCCAATAAAGTTAGGAACGTCTGTACCTAATATTTGGTTAATGGCACTATTTTTGGAGCTTCCATACCAGAAACTAGCATAACACACACTCAACAGGATCAGAGAGGAAATGGGTCGTTCAGTGGCGTAGCTTTGCTGGTCAATCAATGGCTGCTGTCTGCTTGCGTCAAAATCTTCACCTCGGAGCAGTTTGCTTGGAACCACAACAAGGTGGTTCCACAAACTGGGCTGAGTGGGGGTGGGTGCCAGCAGTGGGCAGGCCCTTACCTGGTGTGGTGTGGAACTGATGAGAGCTGAGACTGAGGCAAAGCGCCATAAGGCTCACATAATGTTATGAGTTATTTGACGGCACAGCAGAAACATCAAAATAAACTATTCCTTCTGACAAATCCCTTTAAAATTTTAAGCTGATATACTGACTTGTATCTTTCTTTTTGTTCCAGGAGGAGGCGAGCCGGCGCCTGGGTAGATGTGAGCCCAAGGTAATGGCCAGGCTGGTGGACATAAGCACACAGACAGATCCCGTCGTCGTGCTGTCCTTGGCTCAGGCTGCCGTGCTAGGTCTTATCTCCCAGAATGAAGTGTTTGGAGCTACCATTGCACCCAATGGATTCTACACCGGTGAACCCAAAGAGTCCCCTGCACCCCCAGTAGACGGAGTCGATTACGAATACGCAGACCAACTTATCGGCGCTAACGGAGATTACCTTGGAGACAACTTGGGAGAAGACGGTCAGATGCAACCTAGCTGCAGTCAGAGAAGGTGGCAGCAGGGGCCACCACAACATGCGGATGGGAAAATGGTCATCCCCGATCGTCATGGCCTTCAGGGCCCTGACGTGACCTCATCCCACGTGAAGGGGGAAGTTGTGACCTCTGGAATGCCCTCTTGTGTCCACATGTTGAACAATATGGCTCCTAGAGGTGGTTTGGTTCAGGTAGATCCAGCCTCTCTCAGAGTCCCAAACAAGAACTGTGCTGAGTGTGAGCGTGAATCATCCAGCCAGCAGCAAGCTAACACACATGGACATCCTCCTCCAGCCCAGGTGGCTCACAGAGGAGCAGAGCAGGGCCACAGAGGAATGCAGGGTCAGCGCCCCATGGGTCCCCACAGTAGAGGTGGTAGAGAAGATGAAGAGGATGTAGGACACCAGGAGAATGCTATGATGAAACCAACACAGCAAGAAGAAGCCATCAGCAGCTACTTCCAGACCAGTGAGGTGGGAAGCTATGATTCTTCAGAAATGGGCATGGGTGGAGAGTATGAAGATGGCAACCAGAGCATGATGTGGACAGACGGGAGCAGTGGGACGCAGCACCAGCAGCCCCCGCACCCTCAGCCTCCTCGTCGCCATGGTGGCCGCAGAGTAGACCGACTTGATATCAACATCCAGATTGATGAATCTTACTGTGTAGATGTGGGAGATGGTCTAAAGCGGTGGAAGTGTCGCATGTGTGATAAATCATACACTTCCAAGTACAACCTGGTCACGCACATCCTGGGCCACAACGGTATCAAGCCCCATGCCTGTCCCCACTGTGGAAAGCTCTTTAAACAGCCTAGTCACCTCCAAACCCATCTGCTGACCCACCAAGGAACGCGGCCCCATAAGTGTACTGTCTGCAAGAAGGGCTTCACCCAGACCAGCCACCTGAAGCGACACATGCTCCAGCACACAGACGTCAAGCCCTACAGCTGCCGCTTCTGTCGCCGTGGCTTCGCTTATCCGAGTGAGCTGCGAGCACACGAGGTGAAGCACGAGCGAGGGCGCTGCCATGTCTGCTCGCAGTGCGGCATGGAGTTCCCCACCTATGCCCACCTGAAGCGGCACCAGACCAGCCACCAAGGCCCCCACACCTTCCAGTGCACAGAGTGCAACAAATCCTTTGCGTATCGTAGCCAGCTTCAGAACCACCTCCTGAAGCACCAGAGCCCGAGGCCTTACACATGCTCCCAGTGCGGTCTGGAGTTTGTGCAGCTCCACCATCTACGTCAGCACTCGCTAACTCATAAGGTACTACCACCACACTTTTCCACTCCCACCCAGTCATGCAGACCGCTCAATTTGCATCACTGCAGTGCTGTAGTTTGGTCTTGAATCAACTCTGATGGGTTCACAGTTTTATTTAAATAAGCAATTTATTTCAGAATTTCTGACGGTTATTCAGCCAGTGTTGTTTACACAACTACCCACTTAGAAAGAATAAACTGAACTTTATTTCTCTGTTTTAGTGCTAGCAGCCTGTCACAAAGTTTGTTCTGAACTTTTAAGCAAAAAATGTCAGAAAACACTGACAGACATAAAATAGCATTTTTAGAGCCAACAAGGTGATTCCCAAAGAGCTGCTAGTTGAAAACTTGGAGCACCATTGATGATCAGATCTAAGCTAGATAACAAAATGTTTACGGTAGATGCCTTTCAGCTGTGATGGTGTTTAAGGATCTTTTAATTCTGTTTTGTCCTAATATTAATCTAATGTTTTAGGAACACATTTACATTAGGTCAAGCTGTGCAGTTTTTTTATACATGTCTGAAAGTCACCTTGTTGGTAGAAAAACGTTTCATTAATGCTAGCTAAACGTACATTTTCGGCATTTGTCTAATGCAGCTTGGAATTTGAAGACACATGTTAAGTACTAAAAAACATTGTTGTTTTCCACACCTGAGTGAGACCCAGTTCAGAGTGAGTTAAAAATAAAGAAATTACTGAAGGTAAAGGTACTTTTTAAAAGATTTTTCTCTTATATTTTAGCAGTAAAATAATATTAATATATTAATATATAACATTTCATTGTCTCAAAATGCAGTTTAGTTTGTTTTGTTCTGATAATCCAATCACTATTCTACAGAGTACAGTAGTCCCTCGCTACTTTTCGGTTCGTTTTTCACGGACTCTCTCTATCGCGGTCTTTCAAAGTAAGATTGGACATGACACACAATTGTCTGATTGATGGATGAGACGCACAATCGGCATGGAATTTTTCATTTAAAATAAATTATTTTCAATTATTTAGCACCTGTGTGCAGCAGCGTGAGAAGTGGGCGTGGCCGAGAGCGCTGGCAGAGCTGAGATCATGACATGCTGTTCTCTTTTAGAGCGTTTAGAGTTTAGAAACACTGTTTAGAATAATGCAAGAGTGTGGGAAGGGTTTAAAATGCCTTTATACTGTGTATATATATTAGGGCTGTCAATGGATTAAAAAAATTGAATCAGATTAATCACACTCTAGGGCTGTGATTAATCACTATGCTTAACTTTGTAAGTTTGAAATGTAAATATGCAGTTTTTCATAAAATGTTGAAGAAAACTTTTCATTGTCTCAAACCAAACAGTTCCCCAGGTTTTACTATTTGCTAACACTTAGCATGATAAAATGGCTACAAGTCGTGGGATTGTCTTACTTACCGCCTTTGACGTTTTACGACCGTAAACTTCTGTAATAAATCCACAACGCCAAATATTATTCCTCGATATGCAATGAAATGTGCAGAATAAAGCCTGGAGTGCTAGAAGCCAAGGTTGTTTGTAGCTACTTAACTCCTTCGCACTTAGTGCCAAAACTCCAGAAGAGACTGATTGGCTGGAATGAAAGTTCGCCCGTGATTTCATTGGTTGAATTTTTTACTTCTTCGTAAACTTCCATTGTCGCTACACAAATCACATGACACAGATCTGTTTTGTTGACTGGTGGGGGGTGGTGGTGGTGGGGGGGGGGGGGGTTCTTCCTCCACTCTGAACACATTTCAGACAGGTTGCAGAGACCGCTGCACTCTTCTTGTGCAGAGAATGTGCACGATTGCGCAGGCACGCTTAGAGGGAACATTGGTAAACAGTACAGTAATGGATTAATCTGTGTTATGTAATATTAACAAATTAATCTTTTTAGATTAATCCCATGCGTTAACGTGTTAACATTAACAGCCCTAGTTCCACAAGTAATATGAATTTCCTGTAAACATAAAAAAGACTTCTCTTGTTTTATTTTCAACTGGGACATGTATCTGCCAAAAAGCTTTTATATCTCTTCATTTTAAAAACCTTGCAATTTTAGGTGGAAAAAATTGTTAGAGACAAAAAAATCGAAGAGCAAAATAGATTTGTCTTCATGCACTTCTTATTAAACTCTTAGTCTGTCTAAGCTGTCTGTATTCACTGTTTCTCTGCCTGTTCTAAACACATTTACACATATAGGAACAATATGCATAAAGCAGGGTGCTGCCTTTCAGTCATGCTTCTAAAATGTTCCCCCATGTCAACATCTTTGTTCTGATTTATTCCTGCATATGGATGAAGGGATAATATACATGGTGACAGATCAGTAAGAAACCCCTCAAATGTTATTCAACAGGCTACTAATGTCATAAAACGAGGAGATGCTGAGGTCCTTTCTGCAGGGAGATCATTTCTTGTTTTTGTGCCTGTTTGTTGACTGCTCCTCCTGGTGGACAGCAGCTGCACGGTCTGTTCTGCAGACGCTGGCTGAATGGACAGTCTTCTCGTTCAGCCATGATGGTTTTGTCTGCTGACACTGACTACAGCATGAAGAGGAAGAAGCAGCAGGACGTTCATTTAGAGCAACCTTTAAAATCAAAGGAGACATTCCTGCCCTGACTACATTCAGGCTCGTCTCTTGGATATTTATTTATGGCTTGTAAGGCAGGATGTGAATGCTTTTGTGTGAAATGATTAAGACTCGAAGCTTTTCCATCAGACTTTTGTTTTCTTTTGAACCTGTTTGTTTAGGAGAGTCTTTGCTGAATCTGTGAGTAAATGAAACAAGAGAACGGTTTCAGAATTTGACGTTTCCGTTGTGCTCCACATTTTAACTCGTCTAGTTCCTGTATGGGCTGAAACTTGTGCCATCAGAAACTGAATTTGAATTGTTGTTTTGAACTGAATTTCACTAAACGGAAATTGAATTTAATGGTTTGAAACTGAATTCATTTGCTTTGAAAATTCAGTTTTATAATTCAGTTTCAATTTAAAAATTCAGTGTTTTACTCTAGAAGGACCCAGATAGAAAAAACTGAATTTTCAAATTGAAACTTGAATTATAAAACTGAATTTTCAAAGCAAATTAATTCAGTTTCAAACCATTAAATTCTGTTTCAACTTAGTGAAATTGAATTTCAATTAAGTCAGCTTGACGAGCTTCTTTTCACCTGCTTGTTTAATTACGAGCCATAATCGATGTTTGGCAGGCAGGTGAAATGAAGCTTTTTTTAACCATTAAAGTGCTTTTATTAAGGAAAAGGTAACCAAGACAGACCTTTGCTACAATATCGAGCAAACAAATAATTGTTTTTAAATGTTAATCGTGTTAAATTTTGAAGAATTTAAACGGCGAGTCCTCTTGTGCACGCTCTCGCGGCGCCAATCGATTTTTGACAGACCATCACGTTTTGGCACGACAGATTTCGACAAATACACCGAAAAGGAAGTTATTTTTCTACAGCATTTTTCTTCTTTGCGTTTTACCACCTCCTTGAGACTGAACCACATATCTACATTTCCATAAAGGAAGTTTCACTGACGTGAAACGTCAATCTGTGTTTGGTTACTCTGGAAGGATCCAGATGTGTGACGCAAAAAAATGAATTGTGAAGTTGAAACTGAATTATAAAACTGAACTTTCAAAGCAATTGAATTCAGTTTCAAACTATTAAATTGAGTTTCAATTTAGTGAAATTCAGTTTCAAAGCAGCGATTCAAATTCAGTTTCTGATGGCACAAGTTTCAGCCCACATGCCTGTTCCTTATGGGATGCAACAAACAGGTTGTGGATTTGATGTGTGGACTGCTGATTGAATTTTACTACCATTACTACTGAAATATTGACCATTGTATCATTATAATCTTATTAATATAATATATTAATATTACTACAATCATTAATATTATTATCATTATTTGAATATTTACCAAATATTTAAAATGTGTGTGTATATATATATATACATATGTGTATAATATGGCATTTTAAACCCTTCACACACTCTTGCAATATTGTAAACAATGTTTCTAAATTTTCTTAAAGAGCACACGTCATGACTTCAGCTCTCTGCCTCCTGCTGCCATCGCTCTCTGTCACGCCCACTTCTCCGCTGAAGAGCGGAGATCCTGACACACTGCAGAGGAAGCTTTTTCTGCAGTTGTGGGTGCAAAATAATTTAAAATAATTAATTTAAAAAAAATTTTAAATCCATCCCGATCGTGTGGCTCATCCATCATTCTGCCAATCGTGCATGTCCATTCGGAAAAACCGCGATAGAGCTAGTCCACGAAAAACGAACCATGATAGAGCGAGGGACAATTGTATGTTGAAGTACTCAACTCAAAAATGCACATTATAGAATAGAAGGGATCCACAAAGCAGCAGGTTTGTGTTTATTTGCCTGTCACGCTCAGAAAGACGAACATCATCTCTGTGGTTTTAGAAAGTGGTTCAGGACGTACAGGAGCAACATTTTGTCTCCAAAATAACTAGAAAGTATTATATGAATTGTTTTTCCTGCATACATTGTACTTTTCCTTTGCAGATCCAAATGTTGGATTAAGTGTACTCTCCTTCCAGTTGTTGTTGTTATTGGGTTTTTTTACACTTTAAAGGTGTGGTTAAGCAGTCTACGTCTGAATTTTTATAAACCTATGTCTTCTGTTTGCATTCTGCAGGGGATGAAAGGCCACAAGTGTGAAGTGTGTTCCCGGGAGTTCACTCTGTCCGCCAACCTCAAGAGGCACATGCTGATCCACAACAGCGTCAGGCCCTTCCAGTGTCACGTCTGCTTCAAGAGCTTCATCCAGAAGCAAACCCTCAAGACTCATATGATCGTCCACCTGCCAGTGAAGCCCTTCAAATGCAAGGTGAGCGTTTCAGCTCTTGTGTGGCAGCAGAAAGTGCCGGAGTGAAGCAGTTTACAGGAACGCAAGATCAAACGGAGGCGAGCGTTGTCTGGGAAGAAAACCTTGTTTGTTCCCATTCTTAAAGTGAATTTCATGTGTGTCATTTATCTTCTTTTTTTTTTTTTTTTGTATGGGCTTAGGTGTGTGGGAAGTCTTTCAACAGAATGTACAACCTGCTGGGCCACATGCACCTCCATGCTGGTAACAAGCCCTTCAAGTGTCCTTACTGCACCAGTAAGTTCAACCTGAAGGGAAACCTCAGCCGACACATGAAGGTTAAACATGGAATGGACGTCTCACCAGAAGGACAAGGTGAAGACGGCTTTGTTTTTTGTTTTTTTTTATCTTTAATAAATACTTTCTAAATGTGCATCTTTAACAATGAAACCATCTTATCACCAGCAAACTAGTTGGTCCACTGTAGGAGTGTACTGCTTAGTGGGGAAAAGTGTTTGTAACTCCTCAGACTGGTGAAGCCCTTCGGATGGAGGGCAAAACATCTCTCAACAACAACAAAACAAAGAAACTGTCCACATGACCTGACATTGTTGGATCAGAGACTCTACTTCTTCAGGCGGCTGAGGCGAGCTGTACTGGGAAGCTCAGTCCTCACCTCCTTCTACAGGTGTGCAGTGGAGAGCTTCCTGTGCTCCAGCATCAACGTGTGGCATGGAGGCTGCACAGCTGCAGAAAGAAAATCTTTGCAGAGAGTGGTGAAGGCTCCACAGAAGTCTGTTGGAGTCAAGTCTCCCCACCATCAGACATCTACACCTCCAGATGCATGAAGAGGGCCACTTGCATCATGAATGACCCCACTCACCCAGCACACACTTTTTGCCCCGCTCCCCTCAGGTGGGACGTTGAGGAGCATTAAGTGTAGAACCACTAGACTGAGGAACAGCTTCTACCCTGAGGCTGTTAAGACTCATGAATCCCTAACCAGACAAATCACTGTAATGCCACTTGTTTATGTGCTGTTGACTATCCATGCTGCTGATCTCATGCTGCTGATTTATTTCTTGTTGCTGTGTTCATTCGTGTTCATCTGCTCACACAGACTCATGTTCATGCTGCTTTTGTGCGCCGTATTTTTATATATTAGATTTTATTACTGTTTTTCTTTACATTTATACTTTTGTTGGATGTAACTGGGACCCTGTGTACAAAATTTTGTTCGTGGTGGAATGACATAAAGAAACCTTAAACCTTTGCTTCTCTGAATTTATCCTTGAAAGAACGTATGACCAGATATATTCATGATACTAATTTAATTAACAAAAGAAGCTTATTTTTACCACACTTTGGAAAGAAAACAAATTTGAACAAAGAATAATCCTTCCAGATGACCTGACTTAACTTTGCTAGACTTTTCTTCTACCCAGAGAGAGAGAGAGAGAGAGAGAGATTATATATATATATATATATGTATATATATATATATATATATATATAAACGATCTCATCCTTGACTTTGAATGTGTTCAATTTGAACCAAAAATATTGAATGAAAACATTTATTTTTGTTGTTTGCAGAAGTTCTTCCAGAAATGGAGAGCCAGGGGGAGTACGAAGGCCAGAACTTCAGCTTTACGTCTCCAGACAATATGGACAACAGTGGCTCCCAAAACCTCACCAAACTCACCACAGCAAACATGGAGGACATGGAGGAGTATTACAACTTTGGGAAGGATACGAACAGCTACACTACACCATGAGTGTTGATGGACCAGCAAGGATGCTTTTTTTTTTTTTTACTTTGAAGGCTTTTGGACAGTGGAAAAGTGGTTCTCTTTCAGTTTTGTCCTCCTTCCACAAGAGCTTGATCTGACGGGACACTGATGTGGGAGTGGGGGGGGGGAGCCGGGAAGGACGAGTACTTCAGAGGAGACGTTTCAACTCTGTTTTCTTTAGAGGAGACACTGAAAGTGTGGTTTGACACTCCTGTTACAGAACTAGACTTAACAGACTCAAAGACTCACAGATGGACGGTCACATCTGTACGTTGTATGTATCAGTTGCTTGGAGGGGAAAAAAAGATCTGGAGCCATGGGTTACATTTGATGTAATAGAAGTTCATCATCTGTCATCTTTGTTCATTCCCAGCCAATCACACCCTTAGATTTTTAACTAAAAGTGCCAGCTAGAATTATTATTTTTATTGCAATTAATCTTTCACTGTGTTGGCTCACTGTATACTGATAAAAGTTCACAACATTTCCAGGTTTGAATGTTCTCTGTTCCTAACTGTGACTAGTTTCTGCTTTGATTTGAAGTTTAAGAAAGTTCCAGTTCTCATAAGTTTGAGTCGGGTCCTCTGGACGGATTCTTCTTTGTTGAAACGTTTAGTTTTGTCCAAAAGACTTCTTCAGTCTGGGGAGCTGCAACAAACTGTCTTATGGTGCAGGGGTGCCCAACCAGTCGATTGTGAGGTTTGTAGAACACAACTTCGTTTTTTAACTCCTATTATTTATTGTTCATCCTTGACTATAAAGCGACCCGACCCTTTTTAAATTCCCACGAGACATAACCATGTTTTGTTCTCAGTCAAGTGATTTATTTTTTTGTTGTTGTTTTTGTTCCCTGACTTGAAACGTCTCGAGACGTTAGCTTCACTTGCTCAAAACAAAGCAGAGTAGGATCACTAGTTATTGGAGTGTCAAAAGATGGCTGACAAACGAGCTAGCAAGAAAGCAACAAATAATTTTCACTCTAAGTGAGAGGACTATTTTTTTGTTTTCTCAAATACGAAGTCTGTTTGTCTTGTTTGTAATACGAGCACTGCCTTGTCCACAAAGGACAACTTGGAACTAACCGATGTCCTCACACCGGGTCAGCTGCGTTCTGACCCAACACAGTCAGCGATGGCGAGGTTCTGAAAGAAGCATTCGTTTTAGGCTGCGGATGCACTTTTCTGTGATTTTAAAAACAAAAGTGAGATGTTATTAAAAATGTAAAGTTGTCCTGGAATCCAGCAAAGTTCAGTCGGGTCATCTGGATGTTTGTTTTTTGTTTCCCATGAGACGTTTTGTCCTTCATCCAAAGGACTTCTTCAGTCTGAGGAGCCACCAAACAAATTGATTCCCACAAACAGCACACTCTCATAGTGGAAATAAAAACAATTTGCCTGTGCTTAGATGGCCTCTGGGGCCCGCCCTCTCCCCCGTCAACTCTTCTGAGGCAGCCATGCCAAAACGGTTCAAAACACTGAAGTTCATGCGCAGTAATCCAGGTTTAAATGTCAACAATGTCAGGTCATCTGGATAATTGAGCATAAACTTTGGTGTTGTCCTGAAGTGCTGTGACGTGGCGATGAGGGGAGCAGCTTAAAGAGAACATCCAACAGTGCTGGTGTTTCTCCAGTTTGATGAGTCATCCGCTGCGATGGATGTGGCCCAGCTGTGTTTTTATCAGAATGGTCTTTGTAGACATGAGTGCTGAGGAGGAGCTCCTCACCATCTTGCCTTTGAAAGGACACACATGAGATAGTTTCAACACCGTTATGGAGTTTGTTAATTAGAGCAACTTGTCCCTCTTTATCATCAGGTGGCCTGCCTACGTCTTGCAACCACCTCGTACTGCCCGGCCTATGAGAACAACCGATGGCGCTCCAGCGATGACGGGTCACACCAGTGATTTGTTGCACTGCGCAAGCAGAATGCATTTCCAGATATTCTGGGCTATCACTGCATAACCCACCAACAGGCATTGTGTGGGAATATTTTAAACATGAAAGAAGGGATGGATGTTGCCATGCAGACTGCGTGCTCTTTACGGGCCAGGAGTCTGCAGAGGAGATTATTTCAGATGTGGAGGAGTCTGGTGCAGACCACCCAGACCTTTGCTGTACATAGATGTTGGGTGGCTATAGAGAGGTCATTTTTTTGGCCATATTCAGTGAGTTGTTGCCTGAAATCAGGGTTTTTTCTGCAGCTGTCAGGCCGTGGTGAATGTTCAGTGCTGGAGGACACCCAGTGGATTGTGGATTTGGCCAGCTCCATGAACCTAATTTTGAGCTTCATGAAAATTATATAAATATAATACACATGATCAGCTCAGTGAGCACATTTAAAAGCAGGCTACAACTTCTCACGAGTCAACTTTAATGCAGGGACGTGTGAAGCAGGTCCAGAGCACCCTCTCAGCACTTCTGACTGCATCCATTGAGCCTGTTACCAGCTACATGTCCTTTTGGAAACGGATGTTGAAGATATTGTCCAGATTAGTGCCTTGTGTTTCAGCTGGACCACTCTTGTGGTGAAAATGAGATTTTAACTCTGCAAAATGTCATATGGATCAAACCCAGAGCAGCACCTGGCATGGATGGAGAGTTCTGGAGTCTGCTGTCAGAAGCAAAGTATCCTAACATCAGTGCTTTGAGCTTGACGGCACTTTTTGGGTCAACCTACCAGTACTTGTGTGTCTGCTTTTAAAAAAAAAAAAAGACCAAGAATTGATTTCACGATGATTGTTGACCATCAGGTGACCTGCCTCAAATCAGGTCTCTTGTAAATGAGTCCTCGAGGCTCAATGGGATTTACCTGTCTAAATAAAGGTTGAATGAATGCCTGCATCTTGCAACCACCTCGTACTGCCCTGCCGATGACAACCTGGTTTCAAAACTGGCTGTTCACATAGTAAAGGAGGACCATCAGCCTAATGGATCGTTAGCGCCCTGATGGCTGCTTGCTATTCAGAGGGTTGAGTGATGCAATAACAGTATTGTAAGAGGAATTGGACACAGAGGCCTCTGCCCTTGTTTGATGAAGAATGGTTTCTTTTCACAAAGATGGCCTCCTTTACTCCTCTCTCAAACCATCGTTCCTCTCTGTCCAGGATGTGAACATCTTCATCCCTGAAAGAGTGACCGCTGGCCTGGAGATGAGTGTAGACCGCAGAGTCCTGGCCTGATGATGTTGATCTTCTGTGCTGGGCCATCCTTTTGGCCAGTGGCTGTTTAGTTTCCCCGATGTAAGACTGATCACAGCCCTCCTGACACTGAACAGCATACACAACATTACTCTGTTTGTGCCGGGGGACTGGATCTTTGGGATGAACCAGTCTTTCCTATAATGAATACAATACCTTACGGTAAAGGCTGGTTCATCCCAAAATACTTGGTCCAGAAATTGAAGAAGTCTTTTGGATGAAAGACGAAACGTTTCAACACAGAAGAATCTGTCCAGAGGACCTGATTCAACCTAGTTAGATTCATCTACCTGGATTATTGAGCAGCATCAGGACAAAGTTCCGATCGGTTTCTTTTTCCCTTTTTGCACAACATGTTCACATTTGTTTTCACTGGCGTGGCACTTTCTAGCTAACTTTCTACTTTCCGATGCCGGTTAACAACATGCGTGCTGGCATGTAAAACCCTGTTCACTGTACAAATGGTTCATTAACATGCACTGTGTGTTCACCATTTTTATTTCACATGACTTAGCTTTACATTAATCTATCCCGTGTAGTGAATATATCGCTCTAGTTTTTGAATTACTGAGTGAACGATACGAAGCACTTTTTTTTATTGAAACAGTTTCCTTTTCCTGGGGTACAAGTGAAATAATTTGCCTCGAAGAAAAGAGCTGGGGAGAAAAGATTGTAGAATCTTAAAACCCCATTACTGGCAATAAAAGTATATTACTAAACAATGGATTTACTCGTGTTTCTGTTGCCTGCAGAATGTCTGACTTCTAAATCTATTGCAGCTGTTTGTTAAAATAAGATGTGAAGAATGGTTTCTTTGTACAATCAACAGTTTGGGTTTTCCGTTTGTGGTTCGAGCGCCTCAAAATCACTTTAATTTTTTATTCAGTTTTAAATTTTAAACATTCATAGAGGAACAAAAGAAAAATCTGTAGAAAATTCATCTAGAAGAATACGGAGTACAAAGTTAGATCTTTTAAAGGACATGCTTAAAACTGTTTTTACAAATAGATTGTGGGGCGTTGTATGTTGGCCATCAGCTGCCTTTTGAGGATCGACGCCGATCAAAAAATTAATTGGTTGACCTTTAAAACAAGGTTTCCCAACTCTGGTCCTTGAGGAACACCATCCTGCATGCTTTATTCGTTTCCTTGCTCCCAACACACTTGATTCAGTGATTTGATTACTTCATGTTCTGCAGAAGCCTGTTAATCACCCATTAATTAAAATCAGATTTATCAGAACAGAGAAACCACAAACATGCAGGATGGTGTTCCTCAAGGGCCAGAGTTGGGAACCCTTGTTTTAAAGGTCAACCAATTATGTTTTGAATCAACATCGATCCTTAAAGGCAGCTGATGGCCAACATACAATGCCCATTTTTAGTTTTCGTTTCTGGCCAATATTCTAGTTTACAAAAATAATCACCTAACTTAAATATGTATAAAACACCTGGATGAACTCGGACCTTTAAGTGCATTTACAGAGGACCATGCTTGCAGTAAAAACAACTAAATTGTGGGTGACAGGTGGTTGTAGCAGCTGCATCTTCATCGTCCTGCCTGGTGGTTGGTTAAATATGCACAGGCATGACTGATTTATTTTAAGATGGAAAATAACTGCCAATTAATCTGTTGACCTCAATAATCCACCACTATGAGATCAATAGTCAAACTAAAATGCCGTGATAAATACATGAATTAACTTGTTAAACAGGTTTCCTTCAAAACTGATGATCATTAAATCCTATTCATCCCTAGATGCAAATCAGAATCCCGTCCTTTGGTTTGTTTAGCAAATAAACAAAGTCACAACTTGTCAACAAGTCTGTTACATTTGATCTTGAAATTTAGGAAAACAAGCCTGTGATTCGATGCCACAGCCCATGCTTCAACATTTTCACAATGTCTGGATGCTGATTTCATCACCAGCTGTTTTAAACAAACATGGAGCTGTAGTTTAAAACCTGCCATCTCTTTAAAACCTAAATCAAATCCCAGTGCAATGTTCATAGACTCACGGACAACCTCATGAACTCTGCTTTATGCAGGGATTCTACTTTGCTTCCATTGGAGGTATTTTTTTAAACACCGATCACTCTGTCCTATTATTTTTACAGCTACACAATATTACATGGGAGGGTTTTAACAGGCCATTTCTTCTTCTAGGAGGAAATTAACAAGTACTGAAAGGGGGTACCCGGTAATCTAAATGCTCATTTCTGCTCATCTTTGATCGTGGCATTTTGCTAATTTCCTTTGACATTTCAGCCGAACAGCAGGATAAAAGAACGAGGCCATCCTTTTCTGACAAGCACGACGGTTTTCAAGGTTTGAGAGCCACAAATGTTTGTGACGAAACGAGCAACAAGTTGCTGTTCGCATATCTGAACACTCAGGTTCCTGAGAGAGACTTCTTTAAGGTTTTACACAGGACGACAACCTGGTAACAAATACCAATAAATGCTGCAACAAGATGAGTTTTGCTCTACAGGAATCTTCCAATATTCAGCAAAACTAACAAGAAGCGCTATCAGTGATAATCCACTGGGGGGGGGGGGGGGTGTCTTCCACAGATCTAAGGCTAAGTTTATACCAGCATCTGCTGCTGGTGAAACTGGATTTGCTGTTTTACTAAAACTGTCAGATCTGCCCCCTGCTGGTGCAAGCACTACTCCCCATCAGAACCAGAATACTGTGGGTTTCATACCTGCAGTATAATGCATGTGAACACAGCACAGTATTTGAGCAACTGCATGAAAATATCTGAAATGAAGCCACGTGTGTGTGTGTGTCTTGTGTACAAATATTTCAAAGTTCAAAAAGAAAAATTAATTTGAAACTGGAAAAAAAAGTTCAAAGCTACTTTTCAGATTCAAGTTGATCATTATTGGATCTTTTTTTTTTTTTTTTTCAAAAATCTTATCCAGTTTCAAAGTTGTTTTTTTTTTTTTTACAGTTTCAATTTTCTTTTGAACAAATTTTATGGCCCCAATTTAGCTCCATACTGGATTAGTCATTTAGCTGAAGCCCACCTTCCTTCACTTTAACCAAAACCTAAATATTCTGTTCAGTCTGTGCAGAAGGGAGTTTTCTGCTTGAACATTTGAGGCATCACCACAAGAACGACAAGCTTCAAACAAAAATACCAGACTTATGTAGTAACTAGTGATACACGTTAAGCCAACTTTATCTATAAAGCACATTTAAAACAGCAGCTGTTACCAAAGTGCTTAACAATAAAATCAATGAAAGCTAAATTAATGGAAAACACTAATAATACTGAAAATTAATTAACAGCATTAAACAAAAAATAAAAAAACATAGGAACACAGAACAAAAAAATAACTCACACTGCCGAAATGTCGAAAAAAACAGATGTGTTGTGAGCAAAGATTTTAAAAACAGGAAGTGAAGTGGCCTGCCTAATATTGGGGGGCAGATTGCTCCAAAGTTTGGTCTCCTCTGAGCTTCAATCTTGTTTTTGGAACAGCCAAAAGGAGCTGATCACATGATCTCAGGGCTCGAGAGGGAACATGGTTCCAGTAGCTCAGAGAGATGAGGGGGGGCAAGGACATTAAAGCGCTTAACGGTTAGTAGAAGAATTTTAAAATGAATAACACACAGGGAGTCAGTGAAGGGAGGACAAAACTGGTGTAATATACTCAAACCTACAAGTTCCAGTTAAAGAGCCGAGCTGCAGCATTTGGACGAGCCGAACGTATATAAATATATACATTTTTGTTCAACAGCGCAAACAGTATTGTTCTAATTTGGGAGTACAGTTCCCTGAATTAGCTTCAAATTCAAAATGAAAGCTATTATAAGTCAACGTTGGTGCTAATTGTGCAGTGGAATCACTCCATCTGTGAAATATAAAATGTCAAGATGATCAAAGACGCTGAAGGACAAAAAAAAAAGGTACAAAAACTTGATTCCATTATAAAAACAACAGATTCAAAAGACAAAAAGTTAAAACATTGTTTTTACAGCTGATAATTATGACTTCTGATTGTTCATTTGTTTAGAGCTTTGTCCAGGTTGGTCTTGATGGCGTCCAGGAAGTCTGAGGTGTTGACATAATGTTCGTTCAGCTTGACGCTGCGGGATCACAGAGCAGGGCTTAGAAAACTACAATCAAAATGGACCCCCTGAACACGTACAGGTCCTTCTCAAAAAATTAGCATATTGTGATAAAAGTCATTATTTTCCATAATGTAATGATAAAAATGAAACTTTCATATATTTCAGATTCATTGCACA